CTTGTCTCCCCGAAGGTCCGGGTTAGAATGAAACTTCAGTAACCAATGCTTGTCTCCCGTGAAGGTCCGGGTTAGAATGAAACTTCAGTAACCAATGCTTGTCTCCCCGTGAAGGTCCGGGTTAGAATGAAACTTCAGTAACCAATGCTTGTCTCCCCGAAGGTCCGGGTTAGAATGAACCTTCAGTAACCAATGCTTGTCTCCCCGTGAAGGTCCGGGTTAGAATGAACCTTCAGTAACCAATGCTTGTCTCCCTTGAAGGTCCGGGTTAGAATGAACCTTCAGTAGCCCATGCTTGTCTCCCGTGAAGGTCCGGGTTAGAATGAACCTTCAGTAACCAATGCTTGTCTCCCGTGAAGGTCCGGGTTAGAATGAACCTTCAGTAACCAATGCTTGTCTCCCGAGAAGGTCCGGGTTAGAATGAAACTTCAGTAACCAATGCTTGTCTCCCCGTGAAGGTCCGGTTAGAATGAAACTTCAGTAACCAATGCTTGTCTCCCGTGAAGGTCCGGGTTAGAATGAAACTTCAGTAACCAATGCTTGTCTCCCGTGAAGGTCCGGGTTAGAATGAAACTTCAGTAACCAATGCTTGTCTCCCGTGAAGGTCCGGGTTAGAATGAAACTTCAGTAACCAATGCTTGTCTCCCGTGAAGGTCCGGGTTAGAATGAAACTTCAGTAACCAATGCTTGTCTCCCCGTGAAGGTCCGGGTTAGAATGAACCTTCAGTAACCAATGCTTGTCTCCCCGCCCGGGTTAGAAATGAAACTTCAGTAACCAATGCTTGTCTCCTGCAAGAAGGTCCGGGTTAGAATGAACCTTCAGTAACCAATGCTTGTCTCCCGTGAAGGTCCGGGTTAGAATGAACCTTCAGTAACCAACGCTTGTCTCCCCGAAGGTCCGGGTTAGAATGAAACTTCAGTAACCAATGCTTGTCTCCCCGTGAAGGTCCGGGTTAGAATGAAACTTCTGTAACCAATGCTTGTCTCCCCGTGAAGGTCCGGGTTAGAATGAAACTTCAGTAACCAATGCTTGTCTCCCCGTGAAGGTCCGGGTTAGAATGAACCTTCAGTAACCAATGCTTGTCTCCCGTGAAGGTCCGGGTTAGAATGAAACTTCAGTAACCAATGCTTGTCTCCCGTGAAGGTCCGGGTTAGAATGAAACTTCAGTAACCAATGCTTGTCTCCCGTGAAGGTCGGGTTAGAATGAAACTTCAGTAACCAATGCTTGTCTCCCGAGAAGGTCCGGGTTAGAATGAAACTTCAGTAACCAATGCTTGTCTCCCCGTGAAGGTCCGGGTTAGAATGAAACTTCAGTAACCAATGCTTGTCTCCCCGTGAAGGTCCGGGTTAGAATGAAACTTCAGTAACCAATGCTTGTCTCCCGAGAAGGTCCGGGTTAGAATGAACCTTCAGTAACCAATGCTTGTCTCCCCGTGAAGGTCCGGGTTAGAATGAACCTTCAGTAACCAATGCTTGTCTCCCGAGAAGGTCGGGTTAGAATGAACCTTCAGTAACCAATGCTTGTCTCCCCCGGGTTAGAATGAAACTTCAGTAACCAATGCTTGTCGAGAAGGTCGGGTTAGAATGAACCTTCAGTAACCAATGCTTGTCTCCCGAGAAGGTCCGGGTTAGAATGAACCTTCAGTAACCAATGCTTGTCTCCCGTGAAGGTCCGGGTTAGAATGAAACTTCAGTAACCAATGCTTGTCTCCCCGTGAAGGTCCGGGTTAGAATGAACCTTCAGTAACCAATGCTTGTCTCCCCGTGAAGGTCCGGGTTAGAATGAAACTTCAGTAACCAATGCTTGTCTCCCCGTGAAGGTCGGGTTAGAATGAAACTTCAGTAACCAATGCTTGTCTCCCGTGAAGGTCCGGGTTAGAATGAACCTTCAGTAACCAATGCTTGTCTCCCGTGAAGGTCGGGTTAGAATGAACCTTCAGTAACCAATGCTTGTCTCCCGAGAAGGTCGGGTTAGAATGAACCTTCAGTAACCAATGCTTGTCTCCCCGAGAAGGTCCGGGTTAGAATGAACCTTCAGTAACCAATGCTTGTCTCCCCGAGAAGGTCCGGGTTAGAATGAACCTTCAGTAACCAATGCTTGTCTCCCCGAGAAGGTCCGGGTTAGAATGAACCTTCAGTAACCAATGCTTGTCTCCTTGTGAAGGTCCGGGTTAGAATGAACCTTCAGTAACCAATGTTTGTCTCCTCGTGAAGGTCGAGGGTTAGAATGAACCTTCAGTAAACAATGCTTGTCTCCCGAGAAGGTCCGGGTTAGAATGAAACTTCAGTAACCAATGCTTGTCTCCCGAGAAGGTCCGGGTTAGAATGAACCTTCAGTAACCAATGCTTGTCTCCCCGTGAAGGTCCGGGTTAGAATGAACCTTCAGTAACCAATGTTTGTCTCCTCGTGAAGGTCCAGGTTAGAATGAACCTTCAGTAACCAATGCTTGTCTCCCCGAGAAGGTCCGGGTTAGAATGAAACTTCAGTAACCAATGCTTGTCTCCCCGTGAAGGTCCGGGTTAGAATGAAACTTCAGTAACCAATGCTTGTCTCCCCGTGAAGGTCCGGGTTAGAATGAAACTTCAGTAACCAATGCTTGTCTCCCCGTGAAGGTCTGGGTTAGAATGAAACTTCAGTAACCAATGCTTGTCTCCCCGTGAAGGTCCGGGTTAGAATGAACCTTCAGTAACCAATGCTTGTCTCCCGAGAAGGTCCGGGTTAGAATGAACCTTCAGTAACCAATGCTTGTCTCCCCGAGAAGGTCCGGGTTAGAATGAACCTTCAGTAACCAATGCTTGTCTCCTTGTGAAGGTCCGGGTTAGAATGAACCTTCAGTAACCAATGTTTGTCTCCTCGTGAAGGTCCGGGTTAGAATGAACCTTCAGTAACCAATGCTTGTCTCTCCGAGAAGGTCCGGGTTAGAATGAAACTTCAGGAACCAATGCTTGTCTCCCCGAGAAGGTCCGGGTTAGAATGAACCTTCAGTAACCAATGCTTGTCTCCCCGTGAAGGTCCGGGTTAGAATGAACCTTCAGTAACCAATGTTTGTCTCCTCGTGAAGGTCCGGGTTAGAATGAACCTTCAGTAACCAATGCTTGTCTCCCCGAGAAGGTCCGGGTTAGAATGAAACTTCAGTAACCAATGCTTGTCTCCCCGAGAAGGTCCGGGCTAGAATGAAACTTCAGTAACCAATGCTTGTCTCCCCGAGAAGGTCCGGGTTAGAATGAACCTTCAGTAACCAATGCTTGTCTCCCCGTGAAGGTCCGGGTTAGAATGAAACTTCAGTAACCAATGCTTGTCTCCCCGAGAAGGTCCGGGTTAGAATGAAACTTTCGTAACCAATGCTTGTCTCCCCGTGAAGGTCCGGGTTAGAATGAAACTTCAGTAACCAATGCTTGTCTCCCCGTGAAGGTCCGGGTTAGAATGAACCTTCAGTAACCAATGCTTGTCTCCCCGAGAAGGTCCGGGTTAGAATGAAACTTCAGTAACCCATGTTTGTCTCCTCGTGAAGGTCCGTGTTAGAATGAACCTTCAGTAACCAATGTTTGTCTCCTCGTGAAGGTCCGGGTTAGAATGAACCTTCAGTAACCAATGCTTGTCTCCCCGTGAAGGTCCGGGTTAGAATGAAACTTCAGTAACCCATGGGATCGAGTGGTCAGGATCCCTGACATGGTAGACACATTGGCTCCTAATTGCGCAGATCGATGCTCATGCTGTTGATCACTGGATTGTCTTTTCCAGATACGATTATCTACAGACCGCCGCCATATAGCTGGAATTTTGCTGAGTGCGGCGTACAACTAAACTCACTCACTCACATTTCACCAGCCGTATGTACCGAATTGATTAACTCAGTAGGAACCACATGCTGTAAGAGACTATTCACGTCGGCCGTTCATGATATATTGTGTTTATTAATATAGGAGTTTCGTTAAAACTCACAACATTACGGCAATGTGTAAAACATATTAGCGGAATAAGGAGTTGCAGACGAAATTGCATTTATGACCTGTACAGTTAGCCATAAACCCAAATGGACAACTTACTTTTAACAGAGTTAATACAAATAGACCATGGCCGTACGTCCGTTTTGGAATGAAACTAACATACACTCAACTGTGGAAATGTTTGGGGGAAAGTTAAAATTGTAGATTTATTTCGTTTGATTTATGGTAGAACTTCACATGCAAACAGCCACTTAGTTGTTCACAAATTTCAATATGGCTTAAATAATGCCGTTGCGACGAAAAGTTTTATCTCACTCACTGAACTCGCTCATAAATTTCAAAAGTATCGTTAAGTCGGAGTCATCAGAGTTTTTTTTCCTTTTTGACCCCTTCATGGCCATTTGTTACCTTTAGTGAAGAAGAAAATAATGTTGTTCTGTGTGTTTCAATACAACAAATTATCGACAGGCACCAGAGGGATCTGTTTAGCAAGGTTCATTTAAAATGATTGAACAGTTTTGGTACACTGATCCTTCGGAAACGAGTTTTGGTACACTGTTCCGGAAACGAGTACTTCCCTCGTTTTCAGTGAAGTCGTCATGAATAGAAAAATACAAGTCCAAAATCATCAAAGGCACAAAAATCTTGTTGATTTATTGCTGGAATAATGCCTCTGTGACATTAATGTTTCCAGCCGTTAGTGCTTTGTTCACATGTTACATCAGTATGGATTAAATATGACGTGCATAAAGAAGGAATGTTACATGACATTGTACAACAAGAAGGAATGTTACATGACATTGTACAACAAGAAGGAATGTTACATGAGATTGTACAACAAGAAGGAATGTTACATGACATTGTACAACAAGAAGGAATGTTACATGACATTGTACAACAAGAACAAATGTTACATCAGTATTGATTAAACATGACATTGTTTGTACAACAAGAAAGAAAGTTACATCAATATGAATGAGTGCACTTGTGTATCTCGTGATGCTTACTGTCTGCAGAAATTGTTTACACACATTATTTATTGTTTTTGCAGTGTGATTTGGAACAAACGTCGGCTACCGGACAACATGACCGCAACTGTCAAGCTGTTTTCTTCGTGGTTCTGCCCGTTCGCACAGAGGGCATGGCTCGCTCTACTGGAGAAAGGGGTGGAGTTCGAATACAATGAGATTGACCCATACAACAAGACCAAGGAGTTTCTGACCATCAACCCCCGAGGGCTCGTCCCCGTCATCGTCAACGACGGCAAGTGTGTATACGAGTCTGCTGTGTGTATTGAGTATGTGGACGAAGCCTGGCCAGGACCGTCCCTCCTTCCGAAAGATCCGTATGAACGTGCACAAGCAAGAATCTGGGCTGATTTCATCACCAAGAAGATCGTGCCGAAATTCTACATGGCCCTCCAGCGCCAAACTCGTCCAGAGCAGGAGGAGGCTATGGAGGCCATCTTGACAGCTCTCATAGAGTTGTCGGGGGCCATGTCAACTGAAGGTCCTTTCTTCGGCGGCCAAAATTTCGGGCTCGTTGATATCATGCTGGTGCCATTTAGCATTAGATTTGAAATGTTGTCTCACTACAGGAGGTTTGCAGTTCCTGAGACCGACACATTCGCTCGATTCCGGAGATGGATGGAAGCGTGTCATGCGCGTGACTGTGTCAAGGCCACACTGTCCACAAAGGAGAAGTACATTGCCATATATAAACGTTACGAAAACAACAGTGCCCAGACGGAAGTAGCCGACGCCATCAGGAAGGGAACCACCCTTCCCTAACCCTTCCCGTTAGGGACCCCCTTTCCATATTTTTAAAGCATAATTCTTAAATATTAATACGTACATTATGAACTGTCCCTATATCATTCATAATTATATTTAGTGTATCAATCTACCAGTTAATAAATACCGGATTCAAGCAGACAGAATGTCTACTGTTTAACCAACTGGTCAACGTCAAGACAAACAGTGCAACGTCTTGGCCAAGGAGGAAACAGAGCCACTCTGTACATATAATTGTGGTGAGATTCGAAGTATTCCAGTCCTATTTTCCGTGTACTGTAATGTGAGAAGACACCCCGAGTGAAGCAGGTGCCAGGCGTTGACCACAATGGTGAAACCAAAAAGAACGGGATTCCAGGCATGCCTTCGGGACTATACATGCAATCATCACATGGCCACTATAACACAGACACTAGGCATGCCTTCAGGTTTAGACATGTCGTCATCACATGACCACTATAACACAGACACAAGGAATGCCTTCAGGTTTAGACATGCCATCATTACATGGCCACTGATAACACAGACACTAAGCATGCCTTCAGGTTTAGACATGCCATCATTACATCGCCACTATAGCACAGACACTAGGCATGCCTTCAGGTTTAGACATGCCATCATTACATCGCCACTATAGCACAGACACAAGGCATGCCTTCAGGTTTAGACATGCCATCATTACATGGCCACTGATAACACAGACACAAGGCATGCCTTCAGGTTTAGACATGCCATCATTACATCGCCACTATAGCACAGACACTAGGCATGCCTTCAGGTTTAGACATGCCATCATTACATGGCCGCTATAGCACAGACACTAGGCATGCCTTCAGGTTTAGACATGTCGTCATCACATGGCCACTATAACACAGACACAAGGAATGCCTTCAGGTTTAGACATGCCATCTTTACATGGACACTGATGACACAGACACTAGGCATGCCTTCAGGTTTAGACATACCATCATTACATGGCCACTGATAACATAGACACTAGGCATGCCTTCAGGTTTAGACATGTCGTCATTACATGACCACTGATAACACAGACACAAGGCATGCCTTCAGGTTTAGACATGCCATCATTACATGGCCACTGATAACACAGACACAAGGCATGCCTTCAGGTTTAGACATGCCATCATTACATGGCCACTGATAACACAGACACAAGGCATGCCTTCAGGTTTAGACATGCCATCATTACATCGCCACTGATAGCACAGACACAAGGCATGCCTTCAGGTTTAGACATGCCATCATTACATGGCCACTGATAACACAGACACAAGGCATGCCTTCAGGTTTAGACATGCCATCATTACATCGCCACTATAACACAGACACTAGGCATGCCTTCAGGTTTTAGACATGCCATCATTACATGGCCGCTATAGCACAGATAACACATGACACAAGACATGCCTCACAGGTTTAGACAACTTCACCATCATTACATGGCCACTGATAACACAGACACTAGGCATGCCTTCAGGATTAGACATGCCATCATTACATGGCCACTGATAACACAGACACAAGGCATGCCTTCAGGTTTAGACATGCCATCATTACATGGCCACTGATAACACAGACACAAGGCATGCCTTCAGGTTTAGACATGCCATCATTACATGGCCACTGATAACACAGACACAAGGCATGCCTTCAGGTTTAGACATGCCATCATTACATGGCCACTGATAACACAGACACAAGGCATGCCTTCAGGTTTAGACATGCCATCATTACATGGCCACTGATAACACACAGACACAAGGCATGCCTTCAGGTTTAAACATGCCATCATTACATGGCCACTGATAACACAGACACAAGGCATGCCTTCAGGTTTAGACATGCCATCATTACATGGCCACTGATAACACAGACACAAGGCATGCCTTCAGGTTTAGACATACCATCATTACATGGCCACTGATAACACAGACACTAGGCATCCCTTCAGGATTAGACATGCCATCATTACATGACCACTGATAACACAGACACAAGGCATGCCTTCAGGTTTAGACATGCCATCATAACATGGCCGCTATAGCACAGACACTAGGCATGCCTTCAGGTTTAGACATACCATCATTACATGGCCACTGATAACACAGACACTAGGCATGCCTTCAGGTTTAGACATGCCATCATTACATGGCCACTGATAACACAGACACAAGGCATGCCTTCAGGTTTAGACATGTCATCATTACATGGCCACTGATAACAAAGACACAAGGCATGCCTTCAGGTTTAAACATGCCATCATTACATGACCACTGATAACACAGACACAAGGCATGCCTTCAGGTTTAGACATGCCATCATTACATGGCCACTGATAACACAGACACAAGGCATGCCTTCAGGTTTAGACATGCCATCATTACATGGCCACTGATAACACAGACACTAAGCATGCCTTCAGGTTTAGACATGCCATCATTACATGGACACTGATAACACAGACACAAGGCATGCCTTCAGGTTTAGACATGTTATCATTACATGGCCACTGATAACACAGACACAAGGCATGCCTTCAGGTTTAAACATGCCGACCGGACAGAGACATTAAGCTACACCTTTAAATACTCAGTCGCAAGTCCGACACGTCATATTAGTCATCCCTTGTTATTAGTCACTGCCACGCCCACACCAGCTGAAACAGCCATGCCGACGCCTTTAAGACACACCAGCTGAGACAGCCCCGCCCACGCCTTTAAGACACACCAGCTGAAACAGCCACGACCACGCCTTTGACGACACACCAGCTGAAGCAGCCATGCCCACCCGATCCCGTTAGTCGCCTCTTACGACAAGGATGGGTTGCTGACGACCAGTTCTTACCCGGATCTTCACTGGTGGAATAACATGTAACTTAATCATGTAAAGGTATCATTGTTACCAGAATGTGACAGTTCTGATTGCTTCACTGTCAACAGGAGCTATTATATTAGTTTGCTTGTTTTCCCTGTCTAATTCTGAGGGCCACAAGACATATGCCTACCTGTTGTGCTGGGAGCAATTTAATCGTTCAAGAACCACCCACGTATGTTTGAAAGTGGTGCTAAATACATCGCATGATCGCCGAAGAGGACTGTTCTTGGAATCTTTTGAGATTATCAGTGCATGAAACAAAAAGACTGCACTTACGTCGCAGAAATCTGTACTGAAGAAATAGAGGCATTCCCTATCGCCCGCCATGTCAATAATATGGTTAACATACAAAACAGGTTCTCGGTATACCCTTCTCTTCGACTGTGTACATTCATTGTTCCTCAGGGTGAGTGAGTGACTGAAGAACACGTCTTTCTAAATATATGTTTATTTCCAGAACATTAACATTTGAAGATACAGGTGTATATGAAAAAGTAAAAGATGAAACAATGAAATATAAGCTTTATATGACATTTGTTCTTGACAGGATACCAAGGAGAATAAATTGAAAAAGGACATTAGGAGCGCACACGTAAACATAACATCAGTGGCATATAATGACACAATCATCAGGGGTATACTTGACACAGACATCAGGGGCATATACATAACCCAAACATCAGGGGCATATACATAACCCAAACATCAGTGGTATATAATGACACAAACATCAGGGACATATACATAACCCAAACATCAGGGGCATATACTTAACAAAAACATCAGGGGCATATACTTAACAAAAACATTAGGGACATATACTTAACACAAACATCAGGGGCATATACTTAACAAAAACATTAGGGACATATACTTAACACAAACATCAGGGGCATATACTTAACAAAAACATTAGGGACATATACTTAACAAAAACATCAGGGGCATATACTTAACAAAAACATTAGGGGCATATCCTTGACACAAACACCAGGGGTATATACATAAACACTAGTGGTATATAATGACACACACCTCAGGGGTATATCTGACACAAACACCAGGGGTATATAATGACACAAACACCAGTGGGTATACCAGACACAAACACCAGGGGTATATACATCACACAAACAGCAGGGAGTATACTTGACACAAACACCAAGGGGTATACTTGACACAAAGACCAAGGGGTATACTTGACACAAACACCAGAGGTACACTTGACACAAACACCAGGGGTATACTTGACACAAACACCAGGGGTATACTTTACACAAACAGCAGGGGCATATACTTGACACAAACACCAGGGGTATACTTGACATACACGCCAGGGGTATACTTGACATCAACACCAGGGGTATACCTGACACAAACACCAGGGGTATACTTGACACAAACAGCAGGGGTAAACTTGACACAAACACCAAGGGTATACTTGACACAAACTACAGGGGGTAAACTTGACATAAACACCAGGGGTATATTTGACACAAACACCAAGGGTATACTTGACACAAACACCAGGGGTATACTTGAAATAAACACCAGGGGTATACTTGACATAAACACCAGGGGTATACTTGACACAAACACCAGGGGTATACTTGACACAAACACCAGGGGTATACTTGAAATAAACACCAGGGGTATACTTGACACAAACACCAGGGGTATATTTGACACAAACACCAAGGGTATACTTGACACAAACACCAGGGGTATACTTGAAATAAACACCAGGGGTATACTTGACATAAACACCAGGGGTATACTTGACACAAACACCAGGGGTATACTTGACACAAAAACCAAGGGGTATACTTGACACAAACACCAGGGGTATACTTGACACAAACACCAGTTGTATACTTGAAACAAAAACCAGGGGTATACTTGACACAAACACCAGTGGTATACTTGAAACAAACACCAGGGGTATACTTGACACAAACACCAAGGGTATACTTGACACAAACTACAGGGGCAAAATTAACATAAACACCAGGGGTATATTTGACACAAACACCAGGGGTATACTTGACACAAACAGCAGGGGTATACTTGACATAAACACCAGGGGTTTATTTGACACAAACACCAGGGGTATACTTGACAAAAACAGCAGGGGTATACTTGACATAAACACCAGGGGTATACTTGACATAAACACCAGGGGTATACTTGACACAAACATCAGGGGTATACATGGCACAAACAACAGGGGTATACTTGACACAAACAC